AATACAATGAGTATTCATGAATCCAGAGAACTGATGATGAAATATGCTATTCATGACAGAGAGATGATGAACATAAGAATGCAGAATGAGACATCATTTTCTTGTATACAATTGTCGAGGCAATTTGTTTTGCTTGACAATGCATAATTTATTCTTCTTTTCCTTTTTTCCCCCAATGGGGTGAGAGGAAGAGAAATAGATTTCTGTTCATTTTTATTAATTAGGAGAGGTGGGGAAGGGGGGTGGAATGCTGTAAATATGGAATGTTACATGCACTTTCAGATGAGATCATTGTATTATGAATTTTGTTTAATTCTTTTACTTTGTTGCTAGAGGCCTCTCATGGAATAGAGATAATCGGTACATCTTTGAAATGTGCAAAGAAAACATATCAATAAAAAGACAGAAATGGATACAATATTACCAGAGAAAAACAGTATTGAAGAACTGTGTCATTACTATCTGCTTTGCTGCTGCATTGTAAGGACTACAGTACCTTACCGTTTTGATTTTCAGCTGAAACCTCCTATATGTGTTGTCTCTTCTATTAAAAGGTGAACTCCTCAAGAGCAAGGACAGTAGCAAAGTGCACTTAGCAAAGCACTTAACAAATATATTGTTACTTAAAAATAAGAAATTGATAACTTAAAGGAAAAGATGAATACTTTAAAATATAAAATACCCACATCAATGAAAGCGCAAATAGACTAAGAAACTCAATACCATAAAAAGAAGTGGAACAAGCCATGAATTGATTCCCAATTGAAAAAAATGTAAGTGTATCATGACCCATATATAACAGGTCACATTTTAAACAAATTAGAGGAAGAAATCACCTTTTGGATCTATGTCTAAGGGAAGAGTTCAGGACAAAATAAGCAATAGAGAGAATCATACAAGATACACAATTTTGATTACATAAGAATTAAATTTTTTTACATAAACAATTCTAATGTCATAAAATGAGAAGGGAATGAGTAAATGGGAAAATATATTTGCGAAAAGTTTCTCTGCCAAAGGTCTCATTTCCAAATTATATAAGAAACTGATTCAAGTGTACATTGTATAAGACTAATAGCCATTCCCCACTATAGATACATACTCAAAAGACATTATAAAGCAGATTTCAAAAGAAGGAATCCAATCTATTGGCAACCACATTTAAAATGTTCTAAATTGCTAATAAGGAAATAAAAGCAAATTTGAGGGTATACTTCACACTGATCAGACTAGCAAAGATAACAAATTTGGAAAATGCTAAGTGTTAGAGGGGCTGTAGGAAATGAAGTACACTTGAATGATGTTGGAAGGATTGTTGAATTGGTCCAGGCATTCTGGAAATGAATGTGGAATTAGGCCTAGAAAATTACCTTTAACCTGTCCATACACTTTGAACCACCTATGCTACTTTCTAGGAATGTATAGGCTGTTCAGGGAGGGCTAACACCTCTTATGTGAGGGGCTTGTCATTCTCTTTTCAGGGATGTTCATCCACCTTTGATGTTCATCTGGTCACCCAGTGATCTTGGAACCTGTGGTTCCAAGAAGCTATAGCACGTTCAGTGGCCACATCATGGTAAAACTGTTTCAGCAGATGGACTAAAACCAGGTTTAAAGGTAACCTAGAAAGGCCTCAGACCTGTTGGTAAGTTAGAGGATCTCTACCCCAGCTATTTGAACTCTTTCATGGGCTGAATGAGATGAGAATGATTTGTTTAAATGGCCATGCAGGTGGCTGAAGCAGATGCTAAGACCTTGGTCAGGCATCAAAGATGCCAAGGAAGGTCAGTCACTTCATCCTGGGCCATTGCCAGTCTTGACTTTTGTCCTGCCATAGACTTCTGAAAGAGAGAATGAGGCTGATGACTACATGCAACTCTGCCTCTCTTAAATCCAGTTTCTAAGCATGAGAAGACATCAACCTGTGATGTCATCGGTCCTTTTCAAAAATGGACACACAGCACCACTCTTAGATCTCTAACACCAAAAAACCAAAATCAAACACAAACAAAACAAAAGAGGAAAAGGATCCACATGTACATAAATATTCATAGCAGCTTTTTCTTTAGTACCCCAAAATTGGAAACACAGGCATTGTCCCCATATTAGAAAAGGACTAAGCAAATTGTGGTCTGTGAATGTAAATAGAATATTGTTGGGCCATAAAAGAAATAACAAAATGGAAAATTTCAGAGGAAACTGGGAAAACCTTTATGACTTGCTATGGAGGGAAGCAGAATCAGAAGAAATATTTATGTTATTTAAAAAGTTATAAAGAAAAACACCTTTAACAGGTTTTAGAACTCAGGAACACAACCATGATTCCAAAAGAATAAAGATGAAGCAAACCACACATCTCAAGCCAGAGAGATGGAACTTAAAATACAGAAGGAAACATAACTTTTCCAAAACGTCTGATGTGAGAATCTGTTGTGTTTCCTTCTATAGGTGTTTTCTGTTTTGTTTTTAGGCAATTGGGGTTAAGCGACTTGCCCAGGGTCACACAGTTAGTAAGTGTCAAGTGTTTGGTCTGAGGCCGAATTTGAACTCAGGTCCTCCTGAATTCAGGGCCGGTGCTCTATCCACTGCGCCACCTACCTGCCCCCATAGGTGTGTTTTGAAAGACTTTTTTCTTTAAAAACATTTTGCTCAACACAGCGGTGGGTAGTCAAAAGAATAGTGAGGATAGACTACTTTAAAAAATACTTGTTACTTTAAAATTTTTTTAATTAAAAAAACACCTGTTCATATCCTTTCACTATGTATAATTAGAGAATGCATCTTATTTTATTTAAATTGTGTTTTCTTGGTAACTTTTAAATAAGATCTTCATCAGAAAAACTGATGAAATGCTTTATTTTTCCCAGTTAACTCTTCTTTTCTTTTTTCTTTTTTCCCTATTAAGTGTATTGGTTTGGTATAGAAAAAAATTTTAATTCTGTGTAATCAAAATTATCTGTCTTATCTTGTGTGATCCTCTCTTAGTTTGGAAATGGACTCTTCTGTGCATAGAACTGAAAGGTGAATTCTTTGTCCCTTTAATGTGTTTAAAATATAATCTTTTATATTTAAGTAATGTATCCAGTTGGAGTTTATGTTGCTGTATGGTGTAAGGGGTTGGTAGTGTGAGATATTAGTATAGATCTGGTTTCTGGCAGATTATTTTCCAGTTTTCCTAGCAGTTTTTATTGAATATTGAGACTTTACTGCAGTGGTTGAAGTTTTTGGATTTATTCTACATAAAACTAAAGGGTTCATTTTTTAATCTGTTTATTGTATACCTGATATTTTGCATAGATCACCTTCTCCATTTTTAAACCACTATCAAACCATTGTGAATTGCTGTGTATTGTAGTTTAAGTACTGTTAAACTACTCTTCTTCCCACTTTTTCCTCCTATTAATTTCTTTGAAATTCTTGACATTTTGTTTCTCCTAATGAATTTCATTTTTTCCCCCTAACTCTATGAAGTAATTGTTGGACAAATCTGATTGGTCCAGCATTCAAAAAGTAAATTAATTTACACACTGTATTTTTATTATCTCAGTCTACCTGTAACAATTAATATTTCACTATTTAGGACTATCTTTATTTCCATAAGTAGTTTGTACTTGCATTAATTATAATGGCAACAACGATAATACTAATTATGAACATTAATATGATCTAGTAATTGTAGTTTTCCTAATACTAAGCCAGACCTGCATAACTAATGTATGTTCAACCTGGCAATACTATTTAATATTATCAATATATTGATGTAGTCACTACTATTTTATTTTTAAAAAATTTTCCCCAATGTTCGTTAGAAATATCAATCCATGGTTTCCTTTGGGTCTTTTCAGTCTTCAAGTTTAGATATGAAAACCGTGTTGGTATCCTAGAAAGAATTTGAATTTTTTCTCCTTATCTTGTAAATAGTTGGTAATACAAGACTTGGTCCTTCTCAAATTTTTAAAAAAGCAATAAACTTGTGAATCAATCATGCCCACAGATCCTTGGGAGTCCACGTATAGATTGTTCAAATTTTTCGAGGTTGGGTTATTACTTACGTTCTCAATATTGTTATTACCTAGGGGAATTACATCCTGGTCAGTACCAATTAATATGGGTAGTTTTATTGGCATACACGTTAGTAAAATTTTAATTCCAGGGTCAGAACCACATTAAAGTAGGCCCACCCTTGCTCCCCAATTCCTACTCTAATCACTTACCTGTATGCTCAAGATATGCGTTTCAGATTCAAAACTGACTCAATGATCTCTTTCTCACACACACACACACACACACACACACACACACACACACACACACACGTGTGTGTGTATATACATAAATAGCAGAGTTCAGTCTTGAGACTTTTCTTAGACCTTCTGTAGTTGTGGATTGGAATGTATTGATTTTCCAACTTAGATTGTCTTGATATAATAGTAAGTCATAAAAGTTTTAGAACTAGGAGAAACCATATGGAAAACCGGGGAGGCGACTGGGGCAGGATATTGTGAAATCGTTTTTTTCCACGAGATTTGAAAAGAGCAGAGTTGAATTTGCCCAGGGGAGCCGTTTCATAATCAGAAAGGGCTGCGGAGCTTGCGCGCTGGGACGGCGGGGGGGGGGGGGGAGAGGGGGGGGGGAGAGAGGAGGAGCTTAGGGATTAAGGGAAAAGTAAAAGTTGACAGGAAAAGTCGTGGAGCGAGTTTAGAGACGCAAGCCTCCAAGTCTATGGGCCTGGGTGGGACGGTGCCGACGGTGCCCCTGATCCGGGTCCCTCCCTCCCCGCACCTCGATTTGTAGCCTGGGGGCCAAGTGGCGATTTGGAAGGAGACGTAGACAGTTAAGGGAAAACTAGGCAGGTGTGGGGAGGCTCCTAGGGTCGCTTGTCAAAGCCCCTTTGGGCGCGAGCGAGACAGCTCCTTTCCGAGAAAAGGTGGGTGGCTCTGAAAAGAGCCTTTGTTTCGGGGCGAAGGGGCGCGAGCGACTCCTGGGGCAGACCCGCTTACTTAGAGCTGGTGTACTTGGTGACGGCCTTGGTGCCCTCGGACACGGCGTGCTTGGCCAGCTCCCCGGGCAGCAGCAGGCGCACGGCCGTCTGGATCTCCCGGGAAGTGATGGTGGAGCGCTTGTTGTAGTGCGCCAGGCGGGAAGCCTCGCCGGCGATGCGCTCGAAGATGTCGTTGACGAAGGAGTTCATGATGCCCATGGCCTTGGAGGAGATGCCCGTGTCGGGGTGGACCTGCTTCAGCACTTTGTAGACGTAGATGGAGTAGCTCTCCTTGCGGCTGCGCTTGCGCTTCTTGCCGTCTTTCTTCTGGGCCTTGGTCACGGCTTTCTTGGAGCCCTTTTTCGGGGCAGGGGCAGACTTGGCCGGCTCGGGCATGTCGGTAGCAGAGAAGGGGCTGAAAAGAAGAGAAGGAGCAACTGCGAGAAACGAACAACGAAGACTGCTGAGCCGGCCCCCGCTACTTATAGTGCTCATATGCAAATGAAGTCTCCGGCAACGCCAGGCTCCCATTGGTGGCTTCTCAGGGGTGTCGTCATAGGCGGAGAGGACGGCCATGTAAATAACGGAATCCGAGGCGAGGCTCCCCACTGGCCATTCGGACAAAGACAGCCTGTGAGCCAATCGGACGGCCCGGTTCCACACTCCCCGTGCAAGCTATAAAAGGCCCCGGTGCGGCGGGTCCGAGCACCAGTGTAGTTTCTCAGTCGGTGATTGACGCAGCTGTGTTGTACTCGCATCCGTCATGTCTGGCCGCGGAAAGCAGGGAGGCAAGGCTCGCGCCAAGGCGAAGTCCCGCTCGTCCCGTGCCGGGCTGCAGTTTCCCGTGGGCCGTGTGCACCGCCTGCTGCGCAAAGGCAACTACGCCGAGCGGGTCGGCGCCGGCGCCCCCGTTTACATGGCGGCAGTGCTGGAGTACCTGACGGCTGAAATCTTGGAGCTGGCGGGCAACGCAGCCAGGGACAACAAGAAGACGCGCATCATTCCCCGCCACCTCCAACTGGCCATCCGCAACGACGAGGAGCTCAACAAGCTGCTGGGCAAGGTGACCATCGCCCAGGGCGGCGTGCTGCCCAACATCCAGGCCGTTCTGTTGCCCAAGAAAACCGAGAGTCACCACAAGGCCAAGGGCAAGTAAGCGGACTCGGAGCTCCTGGGGCCGAAAGGCTCATTCCCGAAACCAACGGCTCTTTTCAGAGCCACCCACCCTGTCAAAAGCAAAAGGGCTGTTGCCGAATCCTAGTCCCAAACCCTATCCCTATGTCTATCCCAATCCGAACCCGAAGGCGGCGTGACTTGTTGCACACGTCCCGTCCCGTCCCGTCCCCCCCCTCCCCCGCTCCCAGCACGAACCGAAACCAACCATCCAACAAACCGAGTCAGATAGAAAGTAACTGCTAGGTTGGCGAGCTCGGGTTAACACCTGGATTTCGCTGTAGCCTCGCCCTGTAACTTCTCCCCTGCGTGTCCCAAGAGCTGTGGATAGCACCCAGTGCCGCTTCACCTCCGGTCAAAAGGTGGCAAAGTTTCTCTACCACCAAAGTACTTGGCGGAAGCGTGGGCCAGCTGCGGACTGGTGTCCGCGGGGCGGGGACCCACAAACGTCGGAAATCCATACGTGCCCGTAGCTCAAGCTTTCCCGCAGACAAGATAGCTTGGGAGCCAGGCTCCTGGCCAATCCACCGCTTAGGCGGGCTTTTCATTCGCTGTCCAGAACCCAGTACACGGTACGCGGTGGAACCCTGCTGGGAATGCGAGGGGAGGGATGGCTCCCGGAAGTAGTATTGCACAACTTTGGCACGGTTCTTGCAAGAGGGAGAAGGTCGAAATAAAAAAAGTCCCTCGTTCTTGCCCTCGTGGGAGTCCAGTCCAGTGCAGCGTTTTTGAGCGGGCGGCGCGGTGGGCGCTCTGAAAAGCTCGGAGAGCCGCTGCCCTGGAGAACCGCGGGAGGGCCTTGGCGCCGCGAGGGCCAAGTCAGTGGCCGGCAGCACAAAATTCCAGGGAACCGGTGGAAGGCTGGGGGGATCGATTGGGCACCGACGTCACGTCACAGCACCGAAGGTTTTAGGTGGTTCCCCGCCCACACCCCACCCCTGCAGAACAGAGGGAGAGGGAGAGGGCGAGGAAGAAAGGGGGACGGAGAGAAAGGGAAGGGGCCGAACAACTTTTTAAACAGGGTCATCAACAAGAGAATCCAGCACCGGGAGATCGATGAGGAGCCAAGACCTACCCAGCTAGCGATGGTTTTCCCAGGCGGGTGGAGTGAGGGTAGGGGTGAGGGTGAAGAGACCAGAAGAGTGGGGTGGGGGTGAGGGTGAGGGTGAGGGTGAAGAGACCAGAAGAGCGGGGTGGGGGGGTGGGGGTGCGGGGGAAGGGGGAAGGGGTGAGGGCAGGGCGGGGCGGCTGAGAGCTGGCAAACCGGAAAGCGCCTGGAACGCCCAATGGAAAGGCGCTATTGTTGGTTTGCGTCGCCAGCCAATGGAGGCTCAGCGCGGGACTTTCAAACTCCTTCAGCCCAATCAGGGTGCTTCTGCGTCTATAAAGGCTACCGGCTGGCGTGCAGTTGTCAGTTGTGTTCCAGCACAGGAGAAGCTCCGCTCTTCCTCGCTCGCAATGGCCCGTACCAAACAGACCGCCCGTAAGTCCACCGGTGGCAAGGCGCCCCGCAAGCAGCTGGCCACCAAGGCTGCCCGCAAGAGCGCCCCGGCCACTGGCGGCGTGAAGAAACCTCACCGCTACCGCCCTGGCACCGTGGCTCTTCGGGAGATCCGGCGCTACCAGAAGTCGACGGAGCTGCTGATCCGCAAGCTGCCGTTCCAGCGCCTGGTGCGGGAGATCGCTCAGGACTTCAAGACGGACCTGCGCTTCCAGAGCTCGGCCGTCATGGCTCTGCAGGAGGCTAGCGAGGCATACTTGGTGGGGCTGTTCGAAGACACGAACCTGTGCGCCATCCACGCCAAGAGAGTGACCATCATGCCCAAGGACATTCAGCTGGCCCGCCGCATCCGCGGTGAGAGGGCGTAAGGCGCTGCTTTCCCCTCGTGGAAGGTCCACACCCCAAAGGCTCTTTTCAGAGCCACCCACGTTCTCACGAGAGTAGCTGTGACCGCCCCGATTTCCCTTTGCTTGGTTTGGGATTTGACTTCCCCGTGCTCCTGGGTTCCATAGCCGTAGTGAGCATGTTTCCTTTCCCCCTGGCCCGGCCCAGGAGGAGCAGCAGTCAGTAGGGCGGGGGGACGCCCCGAGCCCATTCCCCTTCCCGAATAAGTATGGCTAATGGGACTACGGACTTGGAGGAGCAATAACTAACTTCCTTTCCCTTCTTCCCCCCCTGATGTTCCTCCTTCCAACAACCTCCCAGCCCCCATCCTCTAGGCATGGAGGACCAGCAACTGACCCTCTCTTTTAAAACGGTTCCTTTGTCGGGAAGTGGAGGGGGGGTGTTTTTATTTATTTGAGTATGCCGTCAGACATGGCCATTTAGAAACACTATAGTGCTCTATAGATAGTGCCTTGGTGGTAACTAATTTTCCTATAGGGGACTTGTGTGTAGTAGTAGGCTCAGCTCTTTTTCTGAGGTGAGTGGGTGGCTCTGAAAAGAGCCTTTGGGTGTGTCAAGTTTCGAGGGCTCGAGCTCTACTTCTTGGCTGCTGCCTTCTTGCTTTTGGCGGCTTTAGGCTTAGCCGCTTTAGGCTTGGTCACCTTCTTGGCCTTGGCCGCCTTGGGTTTAGCCGGGCTCTTAGCCACCTTCTTGGGCTTGGCCGCCTTGGCCTTCTTCGGGCTCTTGGCCGCTTTCTTGGCGGCCGCCGGCTTCTTGGCTTTCTTCGGGCTCTTCTTCACGCTCTTCTTGGCGCCCGCGGCCCCCGTCGCCTTCTTGGGCTTCTTGGAAGCGCCGGCGGCCTTCTTGGTCTTGGCCGACGCCGGCTTCTTGGCCTTAGCCTTCGTGTCGGCCGTCGGGGCCTTCTTGTTCAGCTTGAAGGAGCCCGAGGCGCCGGTGCCCTTAGTCTGCACCAGGGTGCCCTTGCTCACCAGGCTTTTGAGCCCCAGCTTGATGCGGCTGTTGTTCTTGTCCACGTCGTAGCCTGCGGCCGCCAGCGCCTTCTTCAGGGCTGCCAGGGACACGCCATTGCGCTCCTTGGAGGCGCTCACGGCTTTCGTGATCAGCTCCGACACCGGCGGACCCGCGGCCTTGCGCCGCGCTCCCCCGGCGGCCGAAGCCCTCTTGCCCTTCTTCTTGGCCGGGGTCTTCTCTGCAGGGGCCGGGGCGGCGGGAGCGGCGGGTGCCGTCTCGGACATGGCAGCGAAGGGACGGTACAGCAGCGACAGCAAGAAGTCACTAGAGGACGCCGCGGACTCGCGAATAAGCGAGCTCCGCGCTGACCCACTTATATATAGGTAAGGGCTGCCCTGTGATTGGTGCGCCGTCCCAGCCCTCCTCGCCCGTAAGCAAGGAAAATGGCTCCGCTCACTTATCGGGCTCTGCTGGGTAGGAGCGCAAAAAGCAGAAAATGGAGAATGGGGAAGGGAGGGGCCACCCGGCGCGGGGCGTGGGGGGGGAGGGGAGAAGCAGAGACCCGGAGGGAGGGAGCCAGAGAGGGAAAATCCTGCAGGGGGAAACGCGGCTCGGGCAACCACCCCCAGGGAGTCCAGCCCGAAAGGGAGAAAAGACTGCTGACAAACTGAGGGGCTTTTTGCTTTGCTGCTTTGTTGGTTTGTTGTTGAGGGAGACGGTCGGCCCCTTCCTCAGAACCCAACCACTCCAACCAAGCCAACAGTTCCCGGGCTGGGTGCATTTTTTTAAGTTCACTAGTTAATAACTGAACCCAGCTGCTACGACCAATGCATGGTCCAGGAAACAGCCCAAGATTCCTCCGCGTTCTGAGCAGAATGAGCTCTGGCGCTGCCCGGGGGGTGGAGATTGGGGGGCGCAGCTGTTGCTAAGCTCGACTTATGTAGAAACTGTTGAGTGGGCACAGTAAAGTCCCCCATCAGCCCCAGAATTTCAGCAGACGTCGCAGGAGGAGCTCTAGTCTAGAGAAGCGGCTTTGGAAAAGTGGCCACTTTAAGTACAAATAAGATGAGCTCTGCGCAGATTTCTTTCCAACTTTGACTCCTGTGAAGTTCTGCGCAAAATGGGAGGAGACGAGGCTTCTGGAGGGCCTCCGTCTGGACAGCACTATGGCGGTGCGAGGGGAAGGGACGCACCGAACAGGGATCTCCGTGGTCGCTCCCCACAAAGCTGTAACTTCTAAAGTGGCCAAGTCTCTCTTCCTCCTTCCTCCTTCCTCCTTCCCTTTGGGCAATCGTTTCGTGGGGAAGGGGGAGGGCGTCGAAGGCTTGAGCAGGACCAGAAAGTCGGAACAGCAAAAGGCGCCAGGGTTAGGGAGATCGGTTAAGGGTATTCGGAGCAGCCCAGAAGAAACTCAAGGAGACTTACTTTCTTCAACTCCGTGGCGGCATCCCTAAACAGAGGTGCCTGAACGGATGAAGAGTGCTTTGAAGTCGCCCCCCCCCTTATGCCCCGCCCCATGGAATTGGAGCCTCACTTCCAACGCAATGTCCAGGGTGAATCACATACGCGGGGATCTGGTCGCCAGGGTCACAATTTACATGCACCATTTACAGGGACTATAAAAACGTGAATCCTTGACTCCCCATTTTCATGTATACGTGTTGGTTATGGAGATCATCGAGTAAGGAGGAGCACCAAACACATTAATCACGAGCGGGGGGGGGGGCAGGAAACACCGCATGGCCTGTTTGTTTAGCTTCTTCTTCTGAGCTGCCTGGTGCCAATAAAGGGGGAGAGATATGAAGCCTCATATAGGCACCCGCGAAGTCGGGAGGAGTATGAAATGTTCCACTCTGACGCGCTGTTTTAAGCAGTTCTGAAGATCCTCATTAGTCTGCAACCCTTTATAGTAGGTAAGTGCCCTGGATCTCCATTCACGAGTACCACTCAGTAGTTCCAGATAACCCTTTCGTTCTCAAAGCTTCAGAGCAAAGGAAATGGCAGAAACCTAATTTGTTCCCCAACCTGATTCATGGCTGAATGGCTCAGTTCCTGACACCAGCAACATCTGGAACGTAGGCCTGCTTCCTCTAAAACAAATAGATCTTGTTTCTCTAAGTGATTTTTTTTAAACCGACCCCCCCCCCAAAAAATGCACTGGACCCTTTGTTTTCGTGCATTAAAAATTCAAAAGCTGAAAAAAAAATAAAGATACATCACAATAGTTACAGCCTAGCATTCACTCTGTAAGTCGGGGTGTGGGCTTCTTGAGGACAAGAATGGATGGGTGCATTCTGTGAGAGAGAGCCGAGGAGAGGGGAGGAGAGATAAAGGGGACCTGCACATCTGCCTGTAGTGATGGGGACCACTAAGACCTGTGGGAGTAGGTATTTCTTCTCTTTGCCCAAGGCATCCCAGTCCCCCCCACCTCCCTCGGCCTCCTATTTTCCCTAAGTGGTACGAGGTGCTGAGACTTAGGGACTCCAGGGAAAGTCAAAATCAGAGGTTGGGAGCATGGGAGGAAAGACTCGTCCCACAGACCCTTCTTCCTCCCTTCATAAGAGCCACAGATGTACCTGCCTACTACCTCCAGCACTCTGGATCCTGCTCATCCTGCCTCCACTCCAATTTGTGGAGGAGCTGCCTCACTCTTGTACTCTTCCAAACAGGTCTGAGAAATAATTGGGCAAACTGGCTGAAATTATCTCCTAGGATCTCTCACCTTCCTCCCCCCAGATACTGCTGCCAGACTGCCGACCCCCACGGGCAAAGGTTAGAAGGGCCAGACTGGGGGTCACGTGGACTTCATCTCCTAGGGCCTCTTAGATTAAAGAGAACTGGGAGGGGATGGAGGGCTTCTAAAGACAGTCACTCCTACACCCTGGCAAAGCCCGAGCGACAAACTGGCAACTGTTGCAGCAACGATGTGCACAGCCTGGCTTTGTAACAAGTATGGCGCTGAACTCCTTTGCACAGGCACCATCCAAGGGGGCCAGGTGGGGACAGGAATAAGCAATGTCACATCCAAACATTCAAACTCACGTTGGCTTTTCCACCAACCAATCCAAAACTTCCCTACCCTCATCGTAACTAACCAGTGTTTTCCAGACCCGGCAAACGAAATCCTTTTAGATCTTTAAACCTTGTGTGTTTATGAAACACAATCCCTTTAAGATTGTGTGTGTGCATGTGTGTGTGCATGTCAGACAGAAAGGAAAACTATATTGCCTACATGCAAAGAGTTCAGGGTCCATGGTGGAGTGGGGAGAGGGGCAGGCCTGCCCAGCCCCCTCATGCCCCAGAAAGTACCCCCCCGCCCCCCAACCCCCCCCCCACACACACACAGCCTTTTCTCTCTGGCTGAAACCTTAGTAAGGTGTCCAGTCTCCTCATCCTGAATCCCCATTGCCCCACTGATGACTCCTTTGTCTCTCCCTGACCAGGTGCCAACTTACCAAGAGGGATCCCAGTGTGTGGTTCCAGTGCTGGGCCTGGAGCCAGGAGGTTCTGGGAAGCCATTCCACGGTAGCTGCTTACTAGCTGCGTGACCTTGGTCAAGTCTCTTGACCTCTTTTCCTCCCCTCTAAAATGAAGGGCTTCACTCCATGAGCTCTGAGGTCTCCTCCAGCTCTAAATCTATCCTTGCCCCTTCTTGTTATGACCCTGGTGGCCAAAGATTCATCTCAGCTCTGCTCTGGAGAAGACAACGGCTCCATAGACTGCAGAACTAGAGGAGAGACACTGCCCCCAGAACACAAGACCTCCCTACACACAGGCTCAGGACTTGGTGCCCTGGAAAGAGCCCTCTGCATTCCTGCAGCCCTCTGGGGATCAGGCAACTGAGGTGAAGAGGACCACCTGGAAGCTGTAGAGGATCTGCAGGACAAGAGCAGCAGCAAGGCTCAGAGCCACAGGGAGACATTTGCCTTGGGAGTTCAGGCTGGTCACCTCTCTAGGGAGCCCAGTGTTTTCCCCCTTGCAGGGAAGACTGTCTGCACAAGCCCAGGGCAAGCCTGAGGCCCACTGGAAAAGAAAGAATCGTTGCCCTGACTGATGACAAATGGATCTGATTACACTTCCTTTACCTTCTGAGAGATAGGAGTTGGGGGGTTGGGGGTTGGGGGACAGGGAGAGGGGCTCAGTTTCAACAGAGTCTCTTCTATAGTCCGTGTTTGTTTAGGCCATTCATAGGCTGATAGAGCATTAGCCCAGTACTGTCAGCAAGACCTGAGTTCAAATCTAGCCTCAGACACTCACTGGCTCTGTGACCCTGGACATGTCACTTAAACTTCACTATAAAATAAGGTCATTATACCTCTTAAGGTTTGTTTGTGTGTGTGTGTGTGTGTGTGTGTGTGTGTGAGAGAGAGAGAGAGAGAGAGAGAGAGAGAGAATTGGGTGTATTGCCACAGTGCTTGGCACTTGGTAGGTACTGGATAAATCCTCACTCCCTCATTCTCCAGCCCCCTGCCCCCAGCCTTTCCCATTTGCTTGCATGGTAATTGGGACTCTCTCTCCTTTTCTTGCATGTTTTATTATTCTTGTTGTTGTTGTTGTTGTTGTTTTTCTGGTGGAAGATACCAGAAACCACAACAAATTCTGACGTTCCTAAATGAATTCCTGGGGTAATGTCGTAGGACAAAAAAGAAAGCTTTTAGAGAGAAGCCCATTCCATCTTGGGATCACACTAATTATTTAATGTTGTTTTCATTTGACACCAGAGTCTTTTCCCTTTGGATGTCCCCCCACCCCGACCTGCAGCTGAACCTTCCCTTAGAACAAACATACGGACTGAAGCAAAACCAATGGACACTGAAAAGATGGCATGTGCCACATTCTACATCTATAGTTGCCTGGTCTCCACTGGCTGGACTGGGGTAGGATTGAAGGTTCATCATTTCTCCAGACCAGAAAGGTCATTAATACAATTCATCAGTTTTATGACCTTTTAGTCTTATTTAAGGTTGACACTATTTTATTTATTATGTAAGCCGTCAACTTGTTTTTTTGTAATTCCTTCTGTATTAATTCCTACAAGTCTTCTAGGGCTGCTCACAATTTCTTATAGCCCTCATTTCTTGCATTATATACTTACATACACACACGTTTATATATAGGCACACACATACATATACGTGTATCTGTATGGTACACACACACTAAATATATACATATACATGCATATATACACATATACATACATTATATACATAAATTGCTTTTTCAGGTGCGTACCCAATTCATTTCCCCCCCTTTTTTTTTGCTACCACAAAGTGCAACTATGCGTATTTGGGCATATATTGGACGGGTCTAATGTGCTCTCTTTCAATCTTTGTATATATGCCCAGGAATGGGATTGTCAGGCCAAAGGAAGGTTTAGACCTTTTTCTTATATCATTCCAAACTATTCTTCAAAGTTTCCCAATGCATCAATCCACCAACATCATGTAAATGTACCAATCTGTCCTCTCCTCTGACAGTGACTCTTGTCATCCTCTCTGAGACTTCTTCTCATACATTTCAAAGTGACAGAGTTGTTTAACCTCTGGTGTCTCTTTTATTTGTGACTTAGGACCATCTTTCCTATTTTTTTTTTGATAGCTTGACATACTTCTTTTGGAAGCTGATTCTTCATTTTCTCTGATCACTTATCTACTCAGGAATGACTTTTGGTCTCATAGATTTGTGTCAGTTCCTTGTGTATCCTGAATACCGACTCTTGTTCAGGACATAGGGAGCAGAGATTTTTTCCTCCATTTAACCATTTCCCTTCTTGTCCTCACTGATTTGATTTTGTTTGGACACTAGCCTTGTAATTTTATATTATCCAATCATTGATTTTGTCTTTTATAATCTCTCTATCTTGTCTTGTCAAGGACTTCCCCACTCCCACCCATGATGGTGCAAAGTACCTCCACACTTTCTCCCTTATTTTTTAAAAATGCAGTTATCTTTCATTAGAAGTCAAGCATCCATAAGGGCTGTGTTATGCTATATGGTATGAGTTGCTGATCCAAATTCAGTTTTTGTTTAAGAGCTTCCCTTCAGTTCTTGTCTAATGGGGAGGCCTTCCTCCTGGTTTTTGGTTTTGGTTTTTTGGTATTTCTGTTTATCAACCACTGGAGTGCTGTGCTGGATTACCTTTGTTCTTTGCTTCTCTTGTCTTTTTCTCTCATTTACTTTTCCACATTTTTGAACAAAGCCAAGGAATTGAGAGGATTTCTGCTTTGAAATACAGTTTGAGATCTAGTTATAGGTTCATTCTTTCTTTCTTTTTTTAAATAATGATTCCTGTCAAGGATCTAGACTTTTTATACCCCAGATATATCTTATAACTGTTTTATCTAGTTTTCTCAAGTATCCTTCCTTGGCATTTTTACTGGTATAACACGAAATCTGTAAATTAATTTAGGCGGTATAGTAATTTTCATTAGATTAGCATGGGCTAACTGTGAACAATAAATCTTTTCCAGTTTTTCAGTTTTCCTTTATATCTGTTGAAACAAACACATATTTTGATACTTGTATTTTTACAAGTCCTGAGCTAGTCGATTATTTTGAATGGAACTTCTCTTTTCAGCAATCTTCATTTTTTTTTTTTTAGTTCTGTGTAGGAATGCTGGTGAGTTTTGCATACTTTGAAGCTTGTAACTTTAATGAACATATTAATCACTTGTGTTATTTCTTCACAGATTCTCTGGATTTTTCTAAGTTAACCATCACTTGGTCTGCAAATGGGAAAATGTTCACATCTTATATTCCTTTTCCTGACTAACTGCTCTAGCTAGCATTTTTGGAACTGTATCAAATAGCAGTAAAGACCAGAACTACATGGGTGTAATTGTTAGAAAGATTTTCCTGACACCAACCCTATGTTTCCTCTTTGCAGCTTCTTCGTACCCACTGCCGCTAGTTTTTCCCTCTGGGGAGATGCTGAACAGTCTACTCCTTCTTCTCAGTGATCACCCTTCAACCATTTAAAGATATTATTATGTTTTCCCCAACCCATCCCAGTCTTTTCTTCTCCAGGCTAATTACCCCCTATTCCTTCAGCTGATGTGCATAAGGTATGAATCACCAGGCCAATTACCTTCCTGTGGAAAATTATCAGCACCTGTCTTAAGAATTGAATACCTAGGACTGAATATGATAGTAGAAGCTACTTACTCCAAACCTCTCACTTTACAGATGAGGATTCTGAGGCCCAGGGAATTGGCCTAAAGTCACACAGAAAATAAGCAGTACAGGGGGAATTTGAACTCAGATCCTCTGACTCCAAAGTCAGTCTTTTTTCCATTGTGTTACAGTTAGCTTTTTATCTTATTGAGTAGAAGCCATATAGCTCAGAATCTGCTTTATGGTTAGGGAAAGTGGACATTTTTCTTTAAAAGGGTTTCCAGAAAGCCCACTGTTTTACCCACTCCTACCTAAATGTTCCTCTGTCCGATTCCTGACATGTCTCATAAGAGACAAATTCTTTTGTGATATGGGGAGGAGGATTATACTGCGAATTACCTAGGCAGAGGGAACACAGTATTAATCTTAAAATCATGGATAGGGTTAAGTATAGATTTCTGTAAGTTCTTTTTTTTTCTAGTGCCATATCAGTAGTTAAAGTCTGAACCTCCCCCCACAACACACAGGATAATGTCTAGCTTGACTGCACATTTTAAATTTCTTCTTTGACATTATCTGAGCAAACTAAGAAATATAGAGATGTATACTATTTCCTTTGTTCTATGATAGAGTTTCGAGTTTGGGATTGTGAGCCAAGTAACAGACAGCTGGTGGGAGGGGACTTTAACCATTAGGGCTATTTAAATCTGGTTCTTTGTTTCTGGGTCTGTCTCCCCTCATAAGAGTATACTGGTGGAGGGACACCCAAATCTCAAGATTTGAAATAATAATAATAAATTAACTTTCTGTTTCTCCTTGGATACCTCTGTGTTTTTTTTAATTTGAGTGGCATCCCACACATTAGTGACAATTTATCTCATTTTGGGAGTCAGGTTCAGTTCCAAGGTAAGTGACTTGTCTAAAATCGTAGGGCAGAGTTAGGACTCAGATCTGGATCTGCCAGCTTTTGATCCATTTTTACATTACAGTTGCCTCATGGACATTTTGTTTCACCATGAAATGTTTTTTTCCTGTTACTTAGACCTGGTTTCTGATTTTAAAAGAATCCTGGAAAGTATTCATGGACACCTAGACAATTTGTGGTATCCAGTTTCAGGTTGGAGATACATGTATGAATCTTTCAGTCAGCCCTCTGGCCTACTGCTTCTCTTGATTTGGATGAGATAATCTTTAAGGATTCTTCCAACTTTAAATCATGTGATCATGACCAAGTGTAACATATATATGACACAGAGGGATATATTTCTCTATGAGCATTCAATCTGAGTTTTCAATTTTCTGTTATGACCCAGGAAAGGGATTTATGGTTCACAGAATAGCTCACATCTCGTTAATTTTTACACTTTACAATTAAGCATTATCCTTCCATACAACTGTATGAAGTAGGCAGTCCACTTTACAGATAAGGAGACTCAAGACATAAGTAAGGTGTGGAAGACTACCAAATTACCCATTGGATATGTCAAGAGGGGATTCTTTTTCAGGGATACGTTGTACTAAATGTCCTCTGCTAATTCCTACAACTCTGAGATTCTATAACTCTGTAAGCCATCTGTTAAACATTGTTCAGAGTTCACTCTCCTAGGCCACCCTGTTAACACTAGGTCACGTGACCTCAGTCCCCAGCAACTTCCTGCTTCACCAACCTATAGGAAAGACTTCCCTGCCTGACTGTGAATTTTGGCCAAAGTGTTCTGGCTTCCAGGACAATTGCATTCTTTATTAGCCAACTGAAAAGCTTTGTTTCTGTTAGAGGTTTTCTACTCCCCAGGAGGAGCAGATGAAAAGGTTATTTAGGGCACTTCCCCAGTCATGCAATCTCTATACTCAGGTGGCAACCCCTGCTGAGTAGTGTCATACCTGTCTGGGAATCTTTGTAGACTATTGCCTGGGAACATTGGCCTAATGTTCTGTATTTGCCAATTAGCCAAAAGTGTCACATATC